TGTGGCAGTGGCATGGCTATTGTTGGGGATTTATGTTAAAAATCAAGAGCAAAGAGCCCAGCAAATTTAAAATGTAGTGAATTAAAAAAAAAAAAAAAAGCTCCAATAAAGCTGTAGACTGAAAAGATAGAGCTGAGGAGATCTCCACTGCTAAAAAAAAAAAAAAAAACCATGGCCTGAGGGCATCACACAAAACAACAAATCTCCACCCTTTGCAGCCTCAAAACTGCTAAGGTAAAAGACTTTACTTTTTAAAAAAAGCCGCAAAGTGCCATGTTCCAAAATGGCGGCAGTGGCTGCACCAGGTTCCAAAATAGTGGCAGCATAAAGTTTTTGTTCCTCAAAATTAGATTCAGAGTGCCCAGCAATCCAGGCACTTGACCCCTATGGCCAAGGGAAAAAAAAACCTTGGCTACTGCTCCAGGTGGCAGCAGACATTGACATCATTCACGTGGCGCTGGTTTTAGGCGCATACAAAATTCAAGAGTTTGGAGGTGAAAGAGGCTTCCACCCAGATTTCAAAAAAAGGCCTGGGAGGCCAGGCAGTGTGCCCCTGAGAGGGCAGTGTATAAAGCTATAAATATAAAGCAAAAGGTGCAATAAAAACTTCAGAAGTTTAAAAAAGCCAAAAACATAGATTGTCTAAAAAAAGCTGCAAAAAAACCCAAAGTGGGCCCCCCCCAAAAAGCTGTGAGAGCTATAAGCACTAAAAGTGCCGTAGAGGTACAGTCATACAAGCCCTTTAGAGCTCACAATGTGCTACAGATTGCTTCAACTGCTAAACATAAAACTACAAGACATAATGTTAGCCCTGCTAACTTTTAAACTTGCTTTGGTCCCAATGCTCTATATTCCTCTTTATACCTTTTTAAATGATAATGTTTTGTTTGTGCCATTGGATATTAAACGTATTTACCTTTGCATTTATACAGAGGCTCACAACTAAGAGTTTGCTATACATCTCAAAAGAGATGTGAGACAGACTTTTCAGCAATGCTAAAACTATTAAGACTTTCACAACTCTTACAGATAAACTAAATGCCTTTTGCATAAACAGATGTACATGAGTCTTTGGGGAGTAAAATATTATAGTTCTAATATAATGTCTTTATATCTAAAAACTGGTTTTAAAAATGTGTCTGGTTGACAAGTTGACAAGGGATGGATTGTTATGGTTGATACGTTGTGTCAACTTGGGGAGTCTAGAGGTTTGGCTAAGTGACTCAAGAGTTCTGCATCTTGGGGTAAAAAAGACATGTCCTTACTCTTCTGGGATGTTGTTCATTGTGTCAATTTAAAAAGCTTAAAAGGTTAACTATGTGATTCAGCAGGGAGACAGGGTGCTTACTTTTTATTCATCCTGAGCCTGTGCAAGCGCAAGCCATGGAGATTATGTGAGTGCTACACGCCCCCTGCGTGGGGGTAGGCTGCTTACAATATTTTAAAAAAAGAGGTTTGCTCTTCTCTGCTACTCCCCCCCACCCCTTTTTGCTCTTGTTGTTTTTGCTGTTTTCCTCCACCATAAATATTTGCCCTCTGCCACTCCTCCCTTTTGTTCTTGGACTTTTCAGCAATGCTGAAACTGTTAGGACTTTGGCAACTCTTAGAGATGGACTAAAATGTCTTCTGCATAAAGGGATGTACATGAGTCTTTGGGGGGAGCAGGGGTGGAAAGTTATGGTTTGTGTCTGGATGTCCCTCTAAAGCCTCATGCAGTCATGGGGCAGGCTTCTAGTTTTTGATTGATCCATGGTCCAATGCTGGGATTATTGGGGTGAGTGCTACACCCACCCTGGGGTGGGTAGCTTGCATAAAATATAAGGAAGGGAAAGAATCTTGTTCTTCCCACCTGCTCCTCCCTTTTGCTCTTGTTGCTTTTGCTATTTTTCACCGCCATGAACTATTGCCCTCTGCCATGTGCCACTCTGCCTTGGAGCCAGCTGATTATAGTGTGAAACTTCCACAAACTGTAAGGTAAATAATACTTTCCTTCCTTAATTCTGGGCATCAGGTATTTTGTCTCAGCAATGAGCAAAAAGTAACCAAGACAATATATGTATTTTTTTCCTTTTGCTTTTCCCTTCTTTTCTCCACTCCCCCAATCCAGTTTCTCTTTCCTTTTTTTCTTCCCATTTTACAATATCTATTGTACATTTTGGATCTTATTTGCTCTTTCAGCAAAGCTGAGGATATTGACCAGGCAGTCCTTTACAGAAAAAGTCTGCTGACCCTTGGACTCGAATAATGGTTCTCAACATGGGACGATTTTGCCCTCCGGGAGACATGCAGACATTCTGAAAACATTTTTGGTTGTCAAAGGTGTGTGGGGTGGGGATGTGCTACTGACATCTAGTGGGTAGAAGCCAGGGATGCTGCTACATAGTTACATAAGACAGCCCCACACCATTATTTGGTCCAAATGTACATAGTGCTGAGGTAGAGAAACTCTGGATTAGAGGACCCTAAAGTGAGTACTTTCTCAGGGAAAATTCCATCCTTAATAAGAGATCCTATTTCTTGAACACCCAGGTCTTACACTTACTTACATTAGCTCAGGTTGCCTTCATAGTGGGTCTACAAAGGAGCCATTGATAGTCTCCTTTTCTAGGGAAGTTGTTAACACCACTTGCCGGTCAGCTTCCCAGGAGCAAGTCAGCCTGGCTGGGGTCTGTCTTTACGCAGCATTCAGAACCGGCTCCTGTGATGTCACAGAAGATTACAGCCTCAATCGGCTGCCCCCTAGTGTGCGAGTTGCGCAGAGACCGGCCAGTGTCGTTTCCTCTGGTACCCTGCAGAGGCCTCCAGGCTTCCGTACAGAAGATGTGAACATGCTCCTCCAGCCTTTAGCATCAGGCTATTAGGGAAATGAAGCGGAAGAAAGGAAACTCCACCTCTGCCACAATCAGAATTCTGAAATCTGATCGTTCTTCCTCTTGCCCGCTTTAATGCTTGCGGGGATGGGAGACTTCCCTTTCCGTTAGACTCAAAGACACAAAATAGTACTGTTTAGTATCTATAGAATGCTTTTCCAGGCATAAAGAAGTCATATCCATGAATTTTGGGGATGTTCACAGTACAGTATTAAATGAATGAAGACACAGAGTGCGTTTTTTTTTCCCAGCCAGAATTAAAACTCACCTGAATCTTGTTCCATATGATCTACTATTCTCCTTCCTCAGTCTATTATGATAATTAGCTCAACTGATTAAACCCATTCTGATACAGTTAAAGTAGAGGATTTACCACTCATACCCACCCTGCCCCAGTCGGAACTTAAGGCCCAGAGTGAGGAAAGGAATGCACATGGCCGCTCACCTTGGAACATTTCATGGGCTGATGGTGTTTCCCTGAGCCCCCTAAAGCAACTACTTGGAAGGCAACTGCCCATTCTCGTAAAACAAACCCAAGCCATGGGGAGTCATGTCACCTAATGATTTAAGATCACACCACAGAGCCATTTAGTATTTATTTGAATTTTATTGAAAACTGACATGGACATTAGAAAGGTATCAAGCTAAACAGTGCTGGTTCTGGGATATTTCTCTTGGAAAATGAAAAGCCCGGGAAGGTCACATCTTTAAGGAAAAAAAAAAAAAAAGAGGAGAAGAAAGGGAAAACAAACAGATTCTGGAAAACATGCAAAGAGGCTCTCTAGAGACACTGGACAGCAGCATGGTGGTGATGGTGCTAGAGTTCTATCTCACATGGTATTTTGATGGAAGTTAAACTGCTAAATTCAAGGCAGATTTATCAACATCAAAACTCTCCCTCCAGATCCCAGGTTGAACAGAAACCTCAAATGGCCTTGGAAGTTTGAATGGAATAATTTTGCTCTAGGCTCCTTTCTCCACCTGAATATTAGATAATGGATCCATTTTCCCCCTTGCTGGGGATATTCTTTTCTCCTGGGAATGCTGAAGGTCTGGGAATGCTGAAGATGCAAATATCACTCAACTTTCTCTTCCATATTCAGAAATGTTTAATAGTGGCCGAAGATAGTCAACACATTGAAAGAGAGAATTGTTCTTTAAAAAAAAAAGCATAAAACTCAAACAAAACCTGTAAACAGCACTTCCACACCCACAGCTGAGGTCTCCTGCCCCAGTCACTTACACTTGGCTGAGTGGTCCTGTAGTTGTCTCTCTGAGATTACATTTGGTCCATTTTCCAGCTCTGATGATTCTTTTCCTGCCTTGTTAGTTTGGGACAAGACATTTCATTTTAAAATACCTTGTAAGTCAGAAGAGAGCTTCTTTCCTGGACACAGGGACACATGTACATTTGTTGAGTGTGTTATGTGTGTATTATGTGCACAGTTTGAAGGGAGAGGGAAATGGTTGGTTTCTGGTTTGAGACAATATGGAGCCCTAACTCTTCTATAATGGCAGTCTTCTCCTTTAGACTTAGTGCAGCTGCTGAAGATAAGATTAAAAAAAGCTGGAGAGGGCGAGAGAAAGAGAAAGAGAACATGAAATTAGCCAAAGAAAAAGGACATTCAAAGATAGGGAGGGGAGTGGGCAGCATGAGGTAGCAGAGATTATAACTTCAGAAGACAGGTTAGAAATGGGGTCACTGATGGGTCATCACCAAGAGAAAATCTGCTGAGGAGATTCGAAGAACACCACACACCAATTTAAAAGCTTCTTGTTTTAATAAAAACAAGCACATATCTACAGCCATATGTAAATGCCAAATGATTAAAACAAACAAACAAAAAATGTGATCCGAATTGCAGCTGGGAAAAGCAAACTTCTTGGCTTGAGAGAAATGAAGGGGTGTGTGTGTGTGTGTGTGTGTGTGTGTGTGTGTGTGTTTCAGGAAAGGTTTTCCAGCCTGGAAAAATAAAAACACAGACCATTTCTAATGACTGGTTTTGTTTCACCAAAAGTAGCCAGAGAACTTAGGGTATTTTAAAAATGGTAACAACTGTACTAATTAAAAAGCCTTTTCAGTGAAGAAGGAAAAAAAATCCTTTCCAGCTTCAGTGAGAAAAGCTAGCCAATGAAATAAGCATTGGGGATATTTTAATAGGCTTGATTGACTTTTAAAGGCCTTATATTCATTCATAGGTGAAATTTTTGTTTAGCAAACTTCCCCTGGCCACAAAGATCACCCAGGGCACCAGTTAAATGCACACTAGCCTGGGCCCCGTCCAGACTGACAGGAAAGCATCCTGGCTAAAAGGCACCCTGAAGACTCCTCTCAACTTCACTACTTGGTTATATTAAAAAGCTGGCCTGGAGGCTTTACCCCCACCTGCCCCATCCTCAGAATTTTTTCCCTATGGGGAAAAACCTTCAAGGGTCCTCTAACACTATCTGTTTTGTTTTGTTTTGTTTTGTTTTGTTTTGTTTAGACAGGGTTTCACTATGCAGTGCAGGCTGGCCTTGAATTGACTTTGCATCCCAGGCTGGCTTCGAATTTACAGCGATCCTCCTGCCTCCGGAGGCCTCCTGAGTGCTGGGACTACAGACGTGATGTGCACCACCACTCCCAGCAACTCACTATCTGTTTTCATCAAAAGATCCTGCTTCCAGGCACATATACAAACAGATGGATTCCCTTGAGGAAATGGATTGGGTATCTAGAGATGTGGAATTTAGCCTGGCTTTAGCCAAGAACCAGCACTGGACTTTGGGCAAGTCCCTTCACTTCTCTGGAGCTCAGATTCCTCGTATGGAGTAAGTAGATTCTATCTTACTAAGCAAATCTTCTCCCTTTTATAGAAAATTCTTTTCTGTAAAATCTGAAGGTCTCTCATAAACTGTGTGGCTCTAATACTTTTGAAATATTCTGAGATCCTCAAGCCACAAGTAATCTGTAAACAAATACAAATAAGGGGCCTCCTGTTTGTAATGGAAGTTATTATCCAAGGGCTGGTGATTACTGGTTGGTAATCAGGAAAGGTGGATTTAAAAACATCAAAACTGCAAACAAGAAGCCTTTCCCAAGGAGACCTAACAGCCATAACTTTCTGAGCCACTGGCTGAGTATCTGAAGAGATTTTTGGTTTGTTTTAGTGTGGGGGGTTTCGTTGGTGGTGGTGGTTTGTTTTTACCTCCAAGCATAGGGTCTCCTCAAATGCTCCATGTTGACCTGGATTTTTCCCAAGACACTGTCTTATGCTTTGGCCAGTAACCAGCCAGTGAATCACCAACCAAGACATACCAGTATCAGAACTGTATTTGTGCTTTGCCAACAAGAAAAGAGAATGTGTGTGCATTTGTTTGCTTTTCACTTTTTATACTTTTTGCTTCCTGGTATTATCCATGATTGAAGAAAGTAATTCTTTCCCCTTTCTCAACACTTCAAAAAGGCCTGGGAATTTGGCATGGCCTTGTTTGACTGTGTTTTAAAAGGAAGTAATCACAAAACAACCTCAAAAAGAAAAATGAAGGTCATGGTCGGTGCCAGTGGGACTGGGAGGCAGGAGCAAGTCACACAACTCAAAAAGAAGTAGAGCTTGAAGTACACAGCAGGGGTGGGGGACCCGGCTGCCTGACACCCCAAAGAAAAGCTGTCAGTTAGAATAGGAACCTTCGCTTAAAAGGCTAAGTGAAGTCCAGTCCAGCTGTAGCAGGGGATACTATTCAGTACACAGCCATGGATTACTGCAAAGGAAGGGCAGAGAGACGGCTGTTAGCCACAGATCATTGCCAGGTCGCCTCCAGCACTCACTCTGTTGCTGGCCAAATGCCAAAGGCCATTGTGACTCAAGCCCCTGACAATGGAAGCTTTCTACTTCAAAGGGGCTCTCAAAGTCACTCTCAGAGGGGACCCATTATAAAAATTAGGGCTGGAATATTTTAAAAATATCAAACCCTTAGACTAGAGAGAAGGTTAAAAACCTTTCAAGGTCTACCATCTCTTTTCTTTCCTCTAGTTGACAGTCACACCTCTTATTGGGGACATATGCAAAGTGCACATTAAAATCATTATCACAGTCACCAAATAGACCAGAAGACTCATCCCTGCAAATCCTAAGCACTGGATTCTTCGACCAGTCAGTTTGGTCCCACCTCATTAGTATGGCGGGGAGCCCCGGGAAAATGACCAAGGAGATGTTGAAACCCCTCGGAGTTCTGTAACTTTATTACTCAAGACTCTAGGCTGGTAACAGTATTCAGGTTTATTCTCCCTCTGCATCTGTGGGCTACCCAGAGATAAAGAGGGGTGAAGCGTATGCTATTTGCTCCAGCAGTTGTGTTTTATGGTAAGAGCTTGGTATAAATAAACTTGTTACTGACTTTTAACACAGCTTGAGTATAGTTACTCTGAGTGAATGAAAACTGCAGAGGGCTGAACTAAGCAGCCAGAAGGAAAAGGCATCCCTTCAGAGCCCTCTGAGAAGGGGCTCTGACTCCTAGGATTAAGAGAGAGGTCAGGGAGGACTGGGGTCTGGGAGGCAGGAGACTGAGGGGACAGCCATGCTCACGGGTGCTTATCCAGCCACGATGGATGCAAGTACCTCAGGGAAACAAGCAGCACTCAGAGTCTGAACTGGGAAGCTGGCGATGAGGAGTAGCAGTGACATGTTACAGTCCGGTAGGGGTGGAGATGAGGAGGGGTGTGGACAGCTTGGGGTGCTAGGAGTGGGACCGAGAGGTGGGCTGCATCTCTAAGCCACGTAACTGCTGGCTTCTCGACTGGAGGCCAGACACCATCCTCTGAGCCTCAGGCTTCTATGAACTTTTGCCAGAGTAGAGTGGAGGGCGGGGCTTGTATGGCCCTCTAGACATGTTAAGGGGGAATTAGGGAAAGGGAGGCCCAGCTCTGTTGCACAGGAAAGGGTGCGTCTACAGGAAGCCCAAACTGAAAATGAAAAGAGAAGTTGGGTTAATAAACGGACAGATTAATATACTAAAAAATTTTCAGAAGAAAATTGTTTAGGTCGTCATGACTAATGGATAAATTAGAATATAGCTGTTAGATGGTCTTAAGATTTTACTGAATTGGCTCCTGGGAACACGCTTTCTCTCTCATGTACCCCATTCTTAAATGGCAGAAGTAATGACATTAGATGGCAAACTGTCCAACAACCACAAAAATACTTTTAAAAATCTCTTCTTAATTACTGGGTCCTGATTAATGCTCTCCTCAACCCAGATAGCTGTGGCAGGAAGACTTTCAGCAAGTCTCCAGTGGCCTTGGGCCACTGCAGAAAATACCAGACTCTTAGCCACTGTACTTCTTTGTCCCACAGGGAAAACAGAAGGGACTGGTTTCAACTCAGGTGTCCTCTGGAGCAGGCCGAGTCAGCTAGCTGGTACTCTGGGGCAAGAGCTGTTTGTGAAGTGTCTGGTGGATGAGTCCAGACCCAGTCACTGGAAAAACTGAACTATGGAAGCCTATTATTGGTTTGTGTTCACATAGATCTTTGACCTTTCTTCCTTTTGGGGGGAGTGGTACTGGGAATCGAACTCAGGACCTTGTGCTTGCCAGGCAGGCACTGTGCCACTGAGCTGTATACCCAGCCCCTTTCTCCCATTTGAACTTCATTCCTATGTCATAAATAAGGCAAGTAGTATTCATCCCTATGGCCCATATGAAGAGACCGAGAAACAAAGAAATCAACTGACTTGCCTGTGGTCACAAAGAAAGTGTTACAACTAAGGTGAGAGTTGTTTAATCATTTAACTAGACTCTCCCCATCATGCCAGTGTCCCAAGAATTTGTTGGCTGTGGAGCTAAGCCCATTTATTACCCAGAGAATACATTTATCCCTTTAAATAAGGGCTACTAAATATTTGGAGGAGTATAGCTACTGAAAAGTATATGCATAAATGAAAATGTGATTCATTTCCTCCAAGTGAATACACCTACCCTCCAACACACACACACACACACACACACACACACACACACACACAGGGAGTTTACAGATAGATACACACATGCACCCATCGGGTGAATGCGGTTTATACCAGGAATGAGAAACTCTATGTTCTGGTTGTAGTTCTGCCACTAACTCACTATGTGATCCTTAGTAAGTCCCTTAAATCCTTCCCTCCTCTACCTCTCAGAACTGTGGTAAAGATGAGATATTATATAGAAGAACATTTTGAAAAGAAATCAGTAAATGTTATATGAATGCTTGCCTCTTAATTTCTTCTTTGTCTGCTTCCTAGGGGGAAGCGTAACCTAAAAAACACAGCAATGACCTACATTCTCGCCTTCATGGAAATGCAGTGACATTTTGATGTGTACCCATATGCTGTTTACTCCAAGGACCAGTAACTACCAGGTATCTATAACTGGATGTACTATGTATACTAACATAGTATCTACAACTGGATGTACTATGTCACAGAGGAATTTCTCTTACAATTACAGACAGCTGCAAGTAGTGTCTTAGGGACGGTCAAAGCTGGAGAGGAACGGTAAGCTTCCCTCTGCCTGTGCTGTAGGTGGCCCTTGTGACCCACTCCTCGGATGAAGGCTCTGGGGAGGACAGAGTTGCCTCTGTTTCTCTTAGGTCCTGGGAAGCCAGTGCCTTCCCTGATTTCATTCCTTTAAAAATGTTTTTGTGGCCTACTACAGGGAAGCTCGCCAGGAAAAGTCAGTCTTCTTGGTGTTGGAGTTGGCTGTTCAGCAGTCTACCAATTGCCTCTTACTTGTAAAGTGTGCCTTTAATCACAGTTTTTCTAGAATTTATTTTAGGACTGACCACTAACAGTGACGTACTCAGGGAAAACCTGAATGAAATCATGTCAAGCCATGCATAAAACCTACTCTAACTGAAATCAAATTCACCAGAATATATCTTTCCTGCTCTCCTCGATGAAATTGGGGGAACAATGAAAAGCTGCAAGAATTACACTCCTATTGTGTGTCAGATGCTTTGCTTTGTACTGGGACTTTAGCAGTGCTCAGATACTCTAGGAATTTATAGTCTTCCTAAATGGACAGCTGCTGTTCAATTCGCCAGCTAGCAGGGGCTCTGAGACTTGCCTGTAAGCCAGATAGTAAATCATTGCATTATCCTTTTAGGATGGTTTCTTTTGGTCCACTTTCATGGGCCTTCTGTTTCAGAAGCCTCTGTGGACTTCCTCTTTGGGATCTGCTTGAAAGGCGGACGTTTTACCAGCTGTCCAGTGTCCCCCATGCAATAGCTGCAGCAGTCCGTTTGGTGACTTACAGCAAGCTCTCAGTCTAACTCATAAACTGCACGGGTGAGTAGGGAGAAGTCTTCTCAACAGTCCAGATTCTCCAACACAAACAGACCAAACGTAAAAAGGCATTTATGAGGCATTTAACTGGGGCATTTCAAACACTGACTAGACATTTTATATTAACAAATTATTAATTTTGTAGGTATGATAATAGTGTGTGGTTATTTTTAATAGTCATTATCGCATAGAGATACATACCAGCTTATTTACAGATGAAAGATATAGGCTTTGCCCTATAATAATCCAGCAGGTTGGGTGTAATTGATGAAACAGGTTAGCCATATATTTTTTGTTTTGTTTTGATTGTGATACTGGACACTGAACTACATCTCTAGCCCTTTATAATTTTTTTTTTAAATTTTGAGACAGGGTATATCACTAAGTCACTAAATTGCCCACGCTGGGCTCAAACTTGCAATCCTCCTGCCTCAGCCTTGCAGAGTACTCAGACTACAGGCATATGTCACCATGCCCAGCTGGACTGGACATATATTGATAGCTATTTGGTGGCAGGGTTGTAGGTACATGGGGCTGCATTGTACTATTTTTTTACGTTTGAGAGTTGCCATGGTAAAGTTTAAAAATAATAAATGAGCCAATTATGTTAAATTTAAATTATTTATAGTCCTTGTCTACTACCTGAATCTAGCAGAGTAGATAAAAGGTACCTAATCACTGGTTTCTCCCTATAACTCCCTATAATCACTGCTTTCAGTCTCTGTAGAAGCTATGTGACTCCAGTGACTGCTTTATTTACTTCTGTAGACACAACATCTAGCCTTCAGCAATACTTCTTAGCAAAGGTGATCTGCTTACCTCCTTAGCAGGTCTGCATGAAGCTGGCAAGTGGAAGACTTTATATCTGAAGTCTCTTCATTTTCTTCCACTTTGATTATGGTTTGGGGAGGTACACAGCCAAAGGAAATGGGAGAACCTGAACCCCTCAGATAAGAAACAACCACCAGAGGAAAAGAGAGACGCAAGTTTCCATTGGCTCTGCCCATCCCCAAACCTGAGGGTCGATGCTGACTGAGGTACTGCAGGAGCAGGCTTGTAAATGTAGGATGGTTTCTTGTGTCACCACAGTTAATTAATTTTGAAAGTGATGATTATCGCTCTTTAGGGGGAAAAAACTGCCCAACTTGAAACCTGAAATTTTGATCACAGGATCCACCTGTGCTACCTAGCTGTTCTAGCAGCAGAAGTCTGCAAATTCTCCCTTTGATCAGGCAGGCAGGCATGCATTCACCATGTACACTTGAAACCACGCCAGGCTATTTCTTCATACCGGAAGTCACAAGAGGAAACCAGCTACCCCAGTGAAGCCATTTCTTTTATAATTAGATTATGTGTGTAGAGGGTGCAGGGCTTGGGGAGATATGTTCTAGAAGCCATTGCCAGTTCTATTTAGAGTTAATAAAGCTTACCAGGACCCTGGGTCTCATGCAGCATGCAGCAAACAGCAGAGTTAACTGTAAAACAGTAAGAGCTGATGAAGATGGAGTGAGCATGAGGAGAAATAAAATATTATGAATTGACACCAACAATGAAGAGTTAGAGGTCAAGAGAGATCAGGAGTAGCAGGGAGGGGAGGAGGGAAGAGGGACTGGTAGGAACCTCTGAAACACTGAACTCTTTCTTAATCTATTTAAGGCCAGCCAAAGGAAATTCTGAGTATGTGACTATTAGACCCAAGCACCACGTCTCAAGAACAGCTCCCACCACCATTTCTATGCTTGAAGCCCTCCACCGTCACTATGGGAACAGAGTGGCACAGGTTTAACAGTGGTTCTTCCAGAAGTTCACTGATTCTTCATGAAATACATAAGGAGCCCAGACCTGGGGCCACTTGTACATCTGGAAGTATGAAAAAGGACAGGCTACTTTGTTAGGTGCTTATTGCTAATAACATGAGGTGCCACATTTCAGCAAGGATTTTACCCATCTCAGGAATGGGCACTGTCACCAATCCGAAATATTTCTGGTGAATGGAGAGAGGTTTCACCCGATACAGGGTCTTCTGGCTGGGGTCAGTGGAGGGAAGTAATATCAAAAAAGTTAATTAATCAGTGAAGCTGACATTTAGTGTTAAGATTCAGTAATGAAAATTTCTGGACCAGTTAGTGAAAATGTTCAAATTACACATTTGTTAGTCAAATGTGAATAATTGGATGGCAAAACTGAGTGCTTTCAAATATAAAATATTTTACAGTGTACAAAGGCACTGTGTTATTCCTAAGTGATAAGCCAGGCATTGACGAAAGGAAGATATTTCTTCCTTCTGGCAAGCATCCAAAAGTTGAGTCCACAAACAAGTGGCTAAAAACAGAAGGCAAAGCCCACAGACATCTTTTGGAGCCAAAGAACCCTTTAGTAAGGACATTGCTAAACCCTCCATCTGGGAGTTCTGTGAGTCACAGTGTGCAAACAACTGCAGAGTACCGGGGGACCCCTGGACATTTTCTTAGTGTTGAGCAGGTCTGGACGGAAGTGCTTTTCTCCTCTCTGGTTCTGAGATGAGGAATGGGTAACTTCAGTGAGCAGAGCTGGGGGTGGGGGCCAGGCTGCTGACCCAGTGGTAACCAGGAGCTGATGCTGTCTTGCCTTCCCAAATACCAGGGGAGATAGATTGGTTTTAATATCATTCCTCTGGCTAAAGGATGGGGTAGTGGGAGGACACTGGCATCTGAAAGCTCCCCAGTAAGCTCTCAGTTCCCCGGGCTGGGCACAGTGAAGCAGCCAGCAGGGGTAGACAGTAAAGGGGTGGGAAATCAGGCCGAGGCTGCGGCCTTCAGTGGTAGCAGGTAAATTCTGTTGGCCACACCTAGTGACAACTGAGGCTCGGCGAGGGCTGGGAGAGGTGAGCCACCTTGGACACAGGACCGGCAGGCGGGCCTATATGCCACATCAGGGCCAGTGCCAGCTCCAGAAGCTTCTGTGAAAGGGTTCTCTTTCTTTTCCACTACCTTCCCTGTGCCCTTCCTTTTGTCCCTCTTTTTCTTATGCCTCTGCACTGCTCATTTCCTCCTTCCATGTACTCTCACATTCCCTTTGCTTTTCCTCTCTTTTCCCTTCCTCCATCCCCACCCCCATGTTTGCAGGGCTTTCCTATGTAAGCCAGAGGGGCTGGGCCTCTCAGACCATGTACCTACTCCACTCTCAGCAGCCCTAACTCAGGGAATCCAAAGGGCCCGGGGGACACTGAGACTAGGTACAGGTCCTCAGATTAGTCTAACAGCCCACAGCTCACACCCGGCCATCAGCCCTCAGGCCCCTCAGCCTCCAGGTCCTGCCCCAGGGGGATGAGCAGCAGGAGCAGCAAGAAGCCCACCACCCCACAGCAGCCTGCTACTTACTTCTTCTTCTCTTTGTCTCTTTTCAGAGTCTGTGAGCCTCCAGCCTGGGAACCCTGAGACTGGAGGAGCTCAGCCGCCGTCTTTCTCTGTTTGAAAGCATTTACTTCATCATCCAGAGATTTCTTCTTGTCCTCCAGCTTCTTCTTCTCATCCTGATGCAGTTTCTTTAGACAGTCAAACTTCTCATGCAGCTGACAAGGAAGCCAAAAAAGACTGTAGCATTCTCCATGAGCAGCCCCCCGTCTGGCCCAGTCCAGGGTTGGCGGAATGGAAGGACCCCAGGACCTCAGGAGACATTTCTGCCAGGCACTACCATGACAGTACCAAAGGGCACCATGCTGTGAGTGCTTCTCTTGCCTGTCACTTTAATCTCAAAATCTCTGCTCCTGAAGTAAAGGAACAATACGTTTTGCCTAATTAAATATTTTTTAAACGAATCCCCATGGTTATTTTACATGGTTAATAATAATACCACTTATAAAACTATAACATTTACCAAGTGCTTAGGACAGGCCAAGTATTAACTTTTAAAAATAATTTGTATTATTACTTTTTTATGAAGTGCTAGAATGGAACCTAGGGCTTTGTGCATGCTAGACAAATATTCTACTACTGAGCTACAGCTCAACATTGACTTTGATAAGCACCTGATATGTACTAATTCTTTTAATTGTCACAACAATCTCATCAATAGGTTCTGCTATTATTTCCTTTTTCATTTTCAATCTTTTTTTTTTTTTTTTTTGCTGTGCAGGGATTGAACACAGGGTTTCACACATGCTAGGCAAATGTTCTACCTCTGAACTACATTCCCAGCCCTTTTTATTTTCTTATTTTTAGACAAAGGTCTCACTAAGTTTCCCAGGCTGCCCTTGAACTTGTGATCTTCCTGCCTCAAACTCCCAAGTGCTGAAATTACAGGCGTGCACCACGGTACTTGGCCATGACGTCCATTTTGTGAGGAAACATAAGATATGAGAAATTAAGGCACTTGCCCAAGGTCAAACCAGTCTTTACAGGATTGTATAACGGCTTTTCCAACATGGAAGCAGCTCTTGCCTTTTCTTTCCTGTGTGTGTGTGTGTGTGTGTGTGTGTGTGTGTGTGTGTGTGGTACTGGGGATTGAACCCATTGTCTTTCCACATCCCAGCTTGCTTCCATTTCTTCCTGCCTCCCTTCCTTCTTTTCTTTTTTCCTTCCCTTCTTTCTTTCGCATTTTGAAATAAGGTCTTGCTAAGCTGCTGAGTTGCCACAGTTTCAGCCCTTTCTTATCCCCTGCAATCGGGAAGGCTCATTATGGATCACAGAGAAAACTACAGCAGTAGCAAAGCTGGTCAAAGGAAATGGAGTAAGTGTGCACAACTCAGTGTTAACCAAAGGGAAGGCTTAACTTGTCCTGAAAATACCAGAGACCCAAAGAAAGTAAGTGTGTTCTGGCACTCATTGTGATAAATCGATCTTGGGCAAGAGGCATAGATGGTCACCAACTAGAATGTGTAAACTCCCCTGACCAGAAAGAGCAGACCGAGCATAGTTTCACCTTCTTCTGAGGATTCAAGAGAGAATTTAGGATTCTGTAACATTTGCAGTGCATAAAAAGAAGGTCAATGCCCTGATTCCTGTGGGTATGTGGGACTATCACCGGTAAGGTAGGGGGAATGACAGGCTTGCCGTCCAAGCCAGCTTTTACTAGTCATGTGGGGTAGGGGCATCACTTGGGCTGCCCATCAGTTGCTTTCACCCTGCTTTACTTCACTGCAACTTTGATTCATTTATCTTTGAGACCCCCATGGCCTCTCCTCCTAAAGGTGCTGGGTGATCGTTTTCTCCTTAAAAGTGAAACTGAAATCAAATCAATAACCTTGCCACAGGCCTTGGTGACAACCCTCAAGAGTCATAGTACATTAAAGGTGAGAAGACTTGGGAAGTAATTAACTGCTTCCCTTCCTCACAGTTGACCATTTTAAGGCCCAGAAAGGTAAAGCAGCAGCTGACATGACCAAAACTATACCTTATGACAATTAATCTGGGGCCTTGGAAGCAAGGCCATGGATTAGAGGAGTAATTGCAAGTATTTAAGCAGGACCATAAAACCTCATTTTAAAACTTCACTAGAGCTACACGGACGTTTCCTTAACCCTGAAATAGAACCGAATATCCAAGTGAATCGAAAATGCCCCAGCAGTTGCTATTTTAGGTTTCAGCAAATTACTCAGGAGTATCTGGAACCAGCCTTCCTCATGGCCATCATAGAAGGTAGGGTGGGACAGGTCAGCCTAGAAAATCATCAGTTACCCCTACAGAGCTCCAGATTCCCAGGACGGGGAAACTAATCAGCCTGCACCTGACTGCAAGGGCTTGACTCTAGCAGTGCTGACCTACAGAACTTTCTGTATTGCTGGAAATGTTTTGTATTAGTGCTGTTCAGTAGAGCAGCCACGAGGAGTGAGCATTGAAATGTGCCTGAGAGGAACTGAGTTTTATATTTTACTGTATATTAGCCGGCAGTGATGACACATGCCTATAATCCCAGAACTCTGGAGGCTGGTGTAGGAGGATCTTAAGGTCAGGCCCAGCCTGGGCAACTTGGTGACTTAATGAAATCCAGTTTCATATTAAGAACAAAAGAGAGCCGGGGATGTAGCTCAGTGATAGAGTCATTTGAACATCTGACCCTGGGTTCAATGCCTTTTCTGCAAATAATACATTTATTTTATTGTGTATTTCAAATTTGCTAAAATAGATTTTTAATATTTCTACCACAAAAATGATAAGCATATGAAGTGATAGATTTGTTAACTAGCTTTATTTAATCATTCCACGGTGTTGCCATATATGCCAACATCATGTGGTACCGCATAAATATATACAATTATTATGTGTCAATTTAAAATACTTTAAAAACTCACAACAACTGAGCCAGCTAAACGCAGCTACTGGTTACCATACTGGATGGAGAGACTCTAGAAAATTAATACAAGATGGGAAAACATCCTGACCTTGGTGAGTGAAGGATCAGGAAGACAGATTTCCTAGTACCCCTGGCCAGCCAGCTTCTGTGGCCCATTCCTGCCTAAGGCTGCAAGTCCCCTGCCCAAGGCCAAAGCCCCTGCCACGGACTTCCATGCAAGCTTAGCCTCCGTAACCCTTCTGCCCGCACCCTGGCTCATATTTACCTCTTTCTCTGCCTCTTTAAGCTCCGCTTCTTTCTCTTTGACTCTCTGGACAAACATCTGTCTCATCTCCTCTTCTTTTTTCTGCAGCTCCCCTAGGAACTCATTCCTTTTGGCCTCATATGTCTCCTGTAAACTGTAAACATGGTCAAGTTAATTCCTTCACACTCACTGGCTCCTCATCAATGAAAACTGGCCCCAAGCATCTTCCCCTGAGCTCCACATCCTCCTTTCCGCAGTTCAGACAGAGAAGGTGAAAACAGAATGCCAAAGTGGTGCGCAGTTTCCTTGGCACATGACAGCAGGATCACAGGGCTGCTTGAGGGGCATGGGGCAACCCTGGTGAACTGGAGAGACTTAGAAATCTGGGTCTATACTCTCACTTTACACATGAGGAACCTGAGACTCATAGAGGTGAAGTGACTCACTGAAGACACACAGCTAATTAGAGGCAGCGCTGGGACCAGAAGCTGCGTCTCCTGTTTCTTCATCCGGGCCTTCCCACTGTGCTGTACTGCCAGGCCCTGGTTCTGAAACTGCCTGCACTATCTCACCCCTTCAACCAACACTTTCTGAGTCTCCACCCTGTGCTAGACCCAGTACTGATACTTTTCTAGTTGCTCAGCATCTATAGTCAACAGCTCCCATGCCTGCCTTTGAGGAACTCAACAGTCTAGTGGGAGCTGCCTGGGCTGAGGGCCCCTGCCCCTGTCCGGGATTTACATTTCAAGAAACGAGTTAGCCGGATGAGGAAGAGGAGGAACTGGGCTCCCGGGAGGGCAGTGTGTGTGAAGGTGCATGTGGGGAGAGAATGGTGCCTGGGGAGCCAGCGTGGCTCAACTTGGCTGGAGAGGACTGTGTACGTTGAAGAGGAGTGGGAGGGGAGGTTCTGGAGCCTGGCAGGAGAAGGCAAGCTTTAGATGCCCTGTGAAAGATACAGGCGCAGACCCACTGCATGGGTTTAAGCAGGACTGACTGGGTCCAACCAGAAAGTGAGCATGAGCACTCTGGCCGTTTGTGCAGGAGATACTGTCCAACAATTTCTGTACAAAATGGCGGGCTCTTCATGTGAAGGGATGATGGAATGGCGGGAGCTGCAGAAACAGTAGGGAAGCAAGACTAGGGAGGAGGCAAAGATGGTTCTAGCTTTTGGCTCGGATACCCAAGTGGATGGTGGTACTGTCAAGTGCAATGGGGATCACTGGAGGAGGAGAACGCTCAAGGGGAAAGAACTGAATCTGACCATGAATAGTCAAATTTAAGGTGGGGCCTCTATGGGATGTCTGAGTGGATATGGCTAGTATATAGGTGGATCAATGGGCTCACAGCTCAAAAGTAAGATTTTTAGCTTGTGAGTCATCTACTTCCAGGTGATACTGAGGGCTATGAAAGGAGGAAGAAGCAGCTGCAAAGAGAATAGGGAGTGAGAGGAGCAGAGACCCTAGGAACATTTAAAGAAGTAAGCTGAAGAAAATGAACCTGCAAACAAGGCTGAGAAGGAAGAGCGAGAGGAGAGGGAGAGAGAAGGATAAAGGCAGCCAGGCCAGTCCTAGGAAAGCCAAGGCCAGACAGTAGTGCAAGAAGGAGGCAATGGGATTAGGATTAAGTGTAGCACATTAAGGTCAAAGACGACGGGACTCAAAGGTCACAATGACACTGGCCCAAAGTTTGTGCGTGCTGCTGTGGAGAGCTGGGGGAAGAAGCCAGCCCACACTGGCTAAAGAAGTAAACGAGAGAGCAGGAAGGAGGCTGGTAAACACAGAACAGCTATTTCTCTTTCCTGTCAGGGCCTGGCTGCTTGACAAGGCAGAGGCTTGTGAGGATGAGCAGGGCGAACGGGGCTTCTTAGGATGGGAAGGTGGAAAGGGGCCCTCGGAGGAGGACTGAAAGGGATGAAGATTCAGGAACAGAGGTATGGAGGATGGAGCCAAGGACAATCGGATGGGACTAAATGGCCAGTTAGAGGCTCATCTCCTCCTCCACTGAGGCAGCTAACAGCTGCCAGAGGCAAGGAGAAGAACAGCTAAGGCGGCTCCCACGAGTGAGACATGCACAGCTTCCTCCAGCCCAGGTGCTGCTGTGGCCCTCACCGTACCTGTCCCTGCAGGGCCGTAAGGTTGCCCGGCTGAAGCAGCAGCCCCAAAGGACCAGCCGTGCTTTGCCCCAAGCCAGCTTTCCACTGTGAACAGGTACTGTGGGACCTCACAGACCATTTGAAATTCCTCTGTGCCCACAAACATCCCCCTCACTCACTTACTGATGCCTGACATTTCCTGAAAGGAGAGCAAGCCACTAAATGTAGGGCTTATGTTACCTCTCACACATAGAGATCAGATGTGCGTCAACTCAGTCTGTCACTCCTATCTGCTTAATAAACTGATTTAAAACACATTTTCCTTCTCCGAAAGCATCTTATATTCTGATTTGAGAAACATGTCAATGATTACTTGTATCCTGTGGCCAGAACACAACTTGCCCTTGAATTGCAAACACTGAGGACAGCAAATGATGAGGCTGTGTGCATCAACACAGGGAAAGTAACTCCTATTTACTTGGTCCCAAAGGGGCTGCTACCTGGCCCTTTCTTGTTGTTTTTTATTTGTTTTCTGTTTGTTGTTCTTGCAGTGCTGGGGGTGGAACCCAGGGCTTCACATAGGCTAAGGAAGTGCTCTACCATTGAGCTGCTCCTCCACCCTCCTGTCTGCTTTTGAGAATGGGGAGGAGGTTAAAGGACAGTTAGAAGAAAACTGCCTGGGCAGCAGGAGCCTGATGAAGGAAGTGGGGCAGAGGACAGTTACTAACTGCCACTCTGTGGAACAGGGTCCCCTCCCAGGGCTCCCCTCCAGCACAGCTGACTCAGGTTGGTGTGTGTAGAGTGAGGGGCAGCGAGAGATACTCCATGCTGCTTCTCTAGGTCCCATCCCTTCCCTCGCTACCACCTCCCCACGCAGTCCTCCTAGTAGGTGTGTGAGGCTGAGAGGGAAAGGGCAGCAGAACTGGCGGGTTACCCCTGCCGCCATAGCTAGCACCCTCGTCTCACCTCCCGGTCGATTCTCAGAGGAAAAGGCTTCCCCACCACCTGGGTGGCTGAGCCAAGCTGGCCTGGCCTATCCTGGCCTGGTGGGAGCGGTACCTGAAGGGTTTGCTGTCAGGGTCGGTGTCCTTGAAGCCCATCTCCTCCAGCTTACAGCGGCGGTACAGCTCATAGTGCCGGGTGTGGGTCTGCTCCCGAAGATCCTCCATATTGACCCGAATCAGCATCTCCCGAAGCTTCACAAAGTCGCAGTGGGCCTCGTTTTCAACTGCACGGCAGGGGTTGGAATAGTGAAAGTATATTGAAAGTAAGGCCAGCAGAAGCAGCAATGGACGCTATGAGGCAAAAGCCTAACAGGGACATCACTTTGTAATTGGCCGTATAGAGCCTGGGAATTTATCTCCTTATTCACTTTTCTACTGAAAATGGAAATGAAAAGTTATAAAATGGCAGTAGTGAAAAGCTGCAATATTGTAAAAATTATCTAAGGATTCAAAAGCCTCTCAACCCCAATTCACCAATCAGACCCTCACAGGAATGTCTGCTCTGCATCCTTTCGTGAACAGACAGCACATGCATATCCAAGCATCTGTCTACCCGTCCAATAAATATTTGTGTAACCTCTATTCCCAGTATTGTATGGGGGCCCTGGGAATTCAGAAACAAAGTCATGAAGTATTGCTCTTGGAAGCTTATAGTTGCATGGAATAAATACAAATAAATAAATGCAATACAATGCAAAAATTACAAAAGTGGAAGGATAGCTGAGTTACAGCGAAAGCCCAGAAGAGAAACTCCAAACTCCAAACTCCTGGGAGACTACAGGCCTCACCAAAGAGACAGCCCCTAGATGGCTCTGGGAGGAAGAACAGGCATTTGCCAGGCAGACCTCTATGGGGCAGGGCAAGGTTGTATAGTTAGTGAGTCGCAGAGTTAGGATCTGAACCTAGGCAATGTAGGGGAGGGGTAATGGCTATGACCAAGTGACCAAGTCTCTAAAGGATAGGGAGAAAGAAATAGGATATCAATAAATGATAGTGACAAGAAGGGGTGGCCCACAGTGTGGCCCATCTGGACAGCAGAGGCTCCCAAAGAGGTCAGCGGAGGGTGGATAATGGCCTGACAGCAGCAATGATGGCCAGGAGAAAGTAGACTCCACTTTCTAGTGTGAATAAACGAGCCTCCACCGCGACAGCACATGGTAAAGGTCTGTATTTTGGGCAGCGGTTAAGAATAACAGAGATGTGGACTAAATCACAGGAGAGTAGATTTCTGGCCAAAATAGAAGGTCGCAAGCAGGGCTCTATGAGGGTGTCCACAGGCGTGGCACCAGTGTGCTGGGTGGTGGTGTTTAGCCTGACCATGTAGGGTCGGTCTGAGACGTCTGAGATGATGGATAGGCTCAGTCACCACAGATTCCGTCTTGCAGGGGAGACAGTAGTAAGGTTACACAGGGGAGCGAGTTTGATGACAGGGTTGGGCATGATTGCAGTAGATGGCCTGTGGTCATCAGAAGAATCTTTCCAAAGCCCAAATGGGCCCACATAACCCCTCTGCATAATCCCCATTGCATTTAGGATACCCCCCACTGTCACAGAATGTGCCCACCTGAGGGCAACTTCTCAGGACCATGCTATGTGCTATTTGCTCCTCCATCTCTAGACAGCGATCCCTGGTAGTCAGTCAGGCGGTCTGAATACAAGTCCTCTGCAGGCTGTCCAAGCAACATACAGCTTCCTTCGAAATGAACAGTCAAGCTCAGATTTGCAACAAAACCTTTCAAAAAACCCAGCTAGAGGAAATCACTGGAACCACATCTGCTGGCTTCTTTCCTCTCACCTTAGGTTGCTGTCTCTTAGCCCACAAATTCATTCCCAGAGGGGGGTTGTTGGCCCAGGGAGCATTTACCCATGTTCCTAAGGGGGCATCCCCAGTTGCAAGTGGCAGAGAAGAGCCAAAGTTACCATAGCTCTGTACTTAGTCTTGTCCTACCTATGGAAAAGCTGAGATGTAGCTCGGTGTAGAGCACTTGCCTAGCATGCAGGAGGCCCTGGGTTCCAGCCCTAGTACCTCAAAACAAATTTAAAGAAAATAAACTCCAGCTACCAACAGTGGGTCTCTGGTGTACCCTAAAACATGCCAGCCTTTGTACGTGGTGTGGACCTACCCCCATTTGTTTTCCTGAGGGTAGGAGTGCGTTTACAAAGAACCTGCCACCCTGTCACACAGTGTCCCTGCAATCTATAGACCCTAAGGACCAGAGACCTCTTCCACCCATGGCAATATCCTAGGCTTTGTCTTACCTACTACACCAACTAGCCCCATGTGTCATGCAGACCACACAAGAAACGTTCTCCAGTGCACATATATCTGTTTATTTATTCTTTTTTGTCACACTGCATCAGAATCCAGAGGCACTCTACCACTGAGCTACACCGCAAGTCCTTTTTTATGTTTTACTTTGAGACAAGGTTACCAAGGCTGGGCTTGAACTAAGTTGTCAAGGCTGAGCTCGAACTTGTGATCCTCCTGCCTCAGCCTCCCAAGTAGCTGGGATTACAGGTATGTGCCACCACATCAGGTTTATCTAATTCACTTTATATTATGAAGCAATTCTATTTATGGAAGAATACATGAAATGTGAATGTGCTATTTAAAGAATTTTTAAAAATTAACACTGATGTTTCTACAACCCAGGTGAAATATTCCTAGTATTTTAGAAGCCCCTTCATGCCCCTGTCCAATCCCATGCTCATTTCTCCTGGCAATGAGTCTTAACCACTGTCCTGACTGGGGTTTATCACTCATTTTCTTTCCTTTATAGTTTTACCATTTATGTATGAATTTCTAAAAATATATACAGGATCTTTAGTTTTGCCTACTTTAATTCATAAAATGCAATCCTACATTATATTATTATTCTCTGATTTATTGAGTTCAACATTATGTTTCTGAGACTCACTTATGGAGATGTAACTGCAGTTTATTAATTTGACTGCCATTTGATATTTCATTTATGGCTATTTCACAATTTACCCAGTCTATTTTTAGCACATGTGCGGATTGCTTCTAATTACTTGTCATGTTGAACAATACTGCTATGCACATTCTTGCACATCCCCTGTGCTGTCACACATGCTTTCTTGCACACTCCTTCCTTCCTCACTCTAAATCCACTTGCTTATGTTTTAGGAGTGCTTTCTCCACTAGAGACAAGGGAGTGGGCTCCCCTCAGAGGACCCAGGTGGAGAGCCAGAGTTTGCCTGCAAATGATCCCCATGGCCATTTGAGACCCAAACTGAATGAACAGAGGCTGGGACAAGTTAAAGATGTGTCCTACAGCGGCTGGGAGAGGCAAAAAGGCAGACAGAAGGGGCTGTCGGAGTGCAGCCCATGTGGTAGGGACTCACCCTGCACGGTGCCCCAGGGGTACTGCCGTGCCTTCATCATCTTGTTGCCTATCTTCAGTTCTTCCGTGCTGCCAATGACAGCAAACGGCAGGTGGGCCTGAAACAGAAGGCAAACAAATGCTCAGAGCTGCAGAGGAAAGGCACTGCGCATCCCACAACACAACTGCTGCCCATCTCTGGGGCCCTGGGCCCTCACTGTGCAATGTCACTCACTGCTGTCATCAGCCAGAGGCACTGATTAGGCTCCTGAGCCAACCACGTGGGAACAAGAAGCCTATTCCTAGCTCCTTCTGCTCCGAAACTCACAGTAGATGAGAATGACAAAGTCAAATGCAAGGGAGCAGACACAGAAAATAAGCAGAATAATAAGCAGACACACAGATTAGCAAACTGTTCCCTCAGGGGAGCTGCAGTGAGGGACAAGCCTTGGGAATGGGATGGGAGGTGGGTGTGGACAGATATGATAAGGGAGACAGAGAAGGCTGTGATCAATGGCCCTTCCTCCTCCCAGAGCTCAAGATCCCTGAGGACGAGCCACATGGCTGGCTGAGCCACGCTGCCCTTGCTCTAGTCCTTCCCTGGAACAAGAGCATGTTGAGGTGAGGTGCCTTGCGGGCAAGTCACCAGGTATCACCCACCTGCCGTGCCTATGCTCCTTTCTATTTTAGTGAAGACACACTCCCTCACCCTCTGGGAACTGATAGTCATGCTGCAGAAACCTGAATTACACACCTGCAAGCATATAAGACAATATGGCATGGTGGCACACACCTACTATTCCAGCACTTGGCTGAGGCAGGAGGATTGCAGTGAGTTCTCGGATAGCTTGGACTACATAGGGTGTTCCAGGCCAGCTTGGACTACATAGGGAGTTCAAGGCCAGCCTGAACTACAAAGCAAGACCCTGTCTCAGAAAGAAAAAAGAGACAATATGTGACCCATGGCTTAGAGTATGGTCTGGTGCCCTAGACATCATAGGTGATTAATAAATCCCCCTCGAGTGGCAGTGGCGGGACTAGTGGAATAGGAGAGAGGAAAGAAAGGCGAACCATAGAGAAAGGTCTGAGTGTGGTGCTTGCAGGGGAGATGAGGAGCAGGGTCTGGCTGGCAGGAATCCTTTGTGCTTGGAGAAGAGGGAACTCCCCCCAGGTGACCGTGTGGGGACTAGGAAATGCTCAGGGAATGAGCCAATTTATAAGTGCCAAGTCACCACTGGCCAAATGGAATGGCTGACTAAATGTTTACAGACCAGCTGAGTCCAGGCGGGTCTTTACACAAACAAATGACAAGCCCAGTGACATGATCCTTCTTAGTTAGCCAGCTCGCAGCAACAGGCCCCAGTCTCAGATATTTTTGCCCATCTGCTCGTTGATCTAGTCTGCAAACAGTCACTGGGCTTCTACTACGTGCTGGGCATGAAGGTGAGTGCAAGGCTGAAGAAGTATAGAGCCTGCTCATGGACAGTACCAGGGTACAGTGGGGAAAGGCATGCGAGTAATGGCAAGGCAGTCCGTCAGGGTTGTAAAGTGAGGCTCAAGGCTCAAGGAACACAAAGGAGGGTATAACTAACTTCATGGTGAGCCGGAGAGGACATTGCAGAACAGACAGCAGCAACTGTACTACCAGTGTTAGTAACTGTAGAATTAGTATGGACAGAAGCAATTTATTTATTTATTTTTTTTTTGGTTTTTCTCCGGTACCGGGAACCGAACTCACGACCTTCCGCTTGCCAGGCAGGCGCTTTTGCCGCTGAGCTAAATCCCCAGCCCCCAGAAGCAATTTATTAAGCGCGACGCACTGTGTACCAGGTGCTTTACACTGTGTATCTCACTGAGTTTCCCAAGAACATGAAGGGAGAGGGAGTCTTGTTATCTCCATTGTATAGATGAGGCAATGAGGCCCAGGGGGCTCAGTGGCCCACCAGCAGGCACACAGCACTAAGGGCAGAGCTAGATGTGGGATCTGGGTCTCTGATTTCAAAGCACACCCCTGGCTTTCCCACTGCTCCCACTTATGCGGGCTGTAATGGTTGAAGTTTAGAAATTCAACTAAGCAACTCAGCAGGGAACCAGGGTCCTCACTTTGTGAACATCCTCATCTTGTGCAAGAGGAGGGCACCCAGATGATGTGAGTACTACATACACCGGCCCTAGGGGGTGGTAGCCTGTTTATAATATAAGGGAGGAAAAGAGGGGTGCTCTCCCCTCCTCCTTTCACTCTTGTGGCTTTTGCTGTCTTCTACTGCCTGGAACTCTTGCCCCTGTGCCCTGCCACCCTGCCTTGGAGCCAGCTGATCTCAAAATGAAACCTCCACAAACTGTGAGCTAAATAAACCTTTCCTTCCTTAATTTAGGGTGTCCAGAATTTTGTCTCAGCAACAAGAAAAATAACCCAGACAGGGTCCAAGCAGCTGATAAGGTGAGCACTTTAAGGCCCGGGGTGAACTGCTTGTGCTAGGCCGACTTATAAGAGGCAGTTCAATTCTGGGAAACCCACAGCTTCCTGACTCAATCTCCATGCTGATCTCACAGCCAAACCTTCCTCTCCATTCGTTTCTAGTGCTGGACACATAGAATGTTCTTTAGAGTGCAGAAAACACAGGAGCTCATCAGGAGCTCAGCTCCAGGACATCCCCCAGCTGAAGCTGCTCTTTCTTTATCCTCTCCCTCTCCCAGCTGCCCAACTAGAGACTCACCAGCCTCTTCCCATTCTGCTGAATGCCCCTGAAATAGGGACATAAGGCAAAGGGAATGAGTGAGTTATGCGTGTGGAAAGTGAGTGTGGGCTGGAGGCAGGAAATGTTTCATTGATCCTAGCAGGAAGGGTCAATGTGGTAAATGGGAATGGGATACAGGGGCACTTGGGGCGCACCAAATTCCTGAAAATGTGGCCCAGGGGCCTGAACAACTCTAATCTGGCTTCATGGAAGGGTCATCTGGGCACAGTTCATTCCCACTCAGGGACCCACATGATGCCAGGAGCATCAAATCCACCCCCACTCATTTTCTGGGGAGATGTTTCCTCTGCTGAGACAGAGAGCTTTGGCCATGTGACACAAAAGAGCTTAGAGGCAGACATGGCAGAGGGCTAGACTGAGGGAGGAGGCAGAAGGAGAAACTACGTTGTACTGGCGCTCATCTTGGGTTCTGGTATCTACGTGATGTAGGAGGACGTGTGTAAAGCAGGAGGCACTTCTCTGGGCTCAAGAAAAAGGAGGCAAAAAACACCAAAGAAAATAAAGGCATACAAAATGCCAGTCTTTCCTTGGGCCTGTTATTTTCAACATCGAGAGACATTGTCAAAATGACACTTGCTTCCCTTCTTCCTCAAACTGCTGTCATTTGATTCCTCTAGCTCCTTCCGTGTTCCCAGCACACAGCCCCACCAAAATGAATTCAGGGCCCTCTTGAGACCTCCCAACCACACAGGCCTTTGAAACTCACGGTGGAGTCGGTTCTGACAAATGTACACGAGCAGATCATTTTGGAGCGCTCCCATTTCATTTCGTTCTCACTACAGCCTTACAGGGCCTCATTCATGGTCAGACAGAACTGGGGTACAGGATTCAACGAGTCACCCAGACTCCAACCCCCCATGCCTAGGTCTTCCCAGGGAGCGCTGAGGCCAGTGTATTCTGGTTGCCGGCCTGCCCTAGCCACTCAGGGTGGCCTGTGCTCTGCCTCCTGGCTAGATGGCATCTGGTGGCAGTCAGATAACAGTGCTAGGCAGGAAATCACAGGGACCAGGCTCTGACCTTCTCTTCTGCTGCTCTTGAGAGACACAGACATGTAGCTATGACAACCAGAATGGAGTAAAGCAGGGCAGGGAGAAGATAAACCCCCAACCACACTCCCAGGTCCTACCCAGGGGACCTAAATCTAAGGTTGAGCTTTCTCTCCTTTCCTCCCAGATCCTGCAGAAGACTGATAGGTGACATTTGTATGTATGAACTCAGGGAGGAGACTGGCAGTGCAGCTGCTGACAGGCAGACCTCTAAGGAGGTGGCCTCAGGTGTCAGCTCTGCCAGCCACAGGGTGCTCCAATGAGAGACACCTTCAAGCCTCCCCTGGGGCATCTGCTCCCAGACTCACTACCTGTCTCAACCTGTCCTGTCCTGCTACAATAAAATACCTCAGGTTTGGTCATGCATAAAGAACAAAAATGTATTTCTTACAGTTCTGGAGGCTGGAAAGTCCACGATCAAGGTGCTGGCGCATTTGGTTGTCTGGCAGGGGCTGCGTGAAGCCTTTGTAAAATAAGAACTTTAATCCCTCTACTGAGACGCAGCCCCTGTGGCCTTGTCTCTTAATACTATCACCTGGGCAACACTTGGATTTTGTAGGGGACATATTCAAACCATAACACTATTTACACTGTTTTTTGTGTCTTCCTTAAATTCTTCTTTTAAAACTTTGGATGATCCAAGTGGCATGATGTATTTTATTCTCATTCCACCATACCCATTATGCTTGGAAGAATACATGAACATTTAATATTTTTCCCTTGGTACTGGGGATTAAACTCGGGGCTTTCACACTGAGTTACATCCCCAGTCCTTTTTATTTTTTATTTTTGAGGCAGGGTCTCACCAAGTCACTAAGTTGCACAGGCTGAGCTCGAACTTGTGATCCTCCTGCCTCAGCCTCCCAGAGTGCTGGGAGAACACTCCCTTTAGTCCTGTGAAATACCATCTAGATCTCATCTGATAAGAATAGCTCCACTGGACTTGGCTTCTTCCAGGGAAGACCGTATTTCCCAGCTGTGGCTGGTTATGCTCACCCCTTGTTATGGTTGATACACTGTGTCAACTTGTTACTAAAAGTAACAAGTCTAGAGTCTTGGTTAAGTGACTCCACAGTTCTGCATCCTGGGGTGAAGAGGACATGCCCTTACCACTCTGGGATGTTGTTCATTGTGTCAACTTGAGTTTAGACGGTTAGCTAAGTGACTGAGCAGGGCGGGTCTTTACTTTGTATCATCTTGAGCCTGTGCGGGAGGAGGACATGGAGGTGGTGTGGGTGCTGCACGCCCTCTGGGTGGGGGGAGCCTGTTTACAATATAAGGGAGGAAAAGAGGCTTGCTCTTCTCTGCCACTCCCCCTTTTGCTCTTGTTTTGCTGTTTTCTGCTGCCATGAGCTATTGCCCTTTGCCATATGCCACTCTGCTGTGGAGCCAGCCAAGTATGGATTGAAACCTCCACAAACTGTGAGGTAAATAAACCTTTTCTTCCTTAACTCTGGGCATTGGGCATTTTATCTCAGCAGCGCGAGAAAAGTAAACAAGACACAGCTATTTCAGGCTCTTGTTGGCAGATAAATAAAACCATTGGAAGTGTACTCTCTGGTGAACTCTTGATGTCTCCCGCGAACGTACGTACGTACAAACAATGGAAACCGCACTGCTGTCTCAGGAGAAGGGATGGGCTTTAGTACGGGGCTCTCCCTGTGACTCCACTGGTCAGTCATGCACTGTCACTAGGCCCAAGTGCCAAATGCCTTTGTGGGAACCAAACCCAGCACCTCACAAATGGCCAACCAACTAAGCACAGTCAAGTACTCGAACTGGGTCTGTTCCTTGGTCCTTGGCTATAATTCCAAGAATAATACTAAATTTAAACAACATAGCAATTTTTCGTATAGAGTCTACAACTTTTTTGTTTGTTTGCAGTACAAGGGATTGAGCCCAAGGATTTAGGCATGCTAAGGAAACAATCTACTACTGAGCTACATCCCCAGCCCTTTTTACATTTTCTTTTGAGAGAAGGTCTTGTTAAATGGTCCAAGCTAGGCTCAAACTTGGGGTTCTCCTGCCTCAGCCTCCTGAGTAGCTGGGATTACAGGCATGCGCCAATGAGCCTGACTAAAGTCTGCAACCTAGAGAGGCATAAAAGCATGGTTTAAAAGTAACAGGCAACAAGATTGCTCTCTCTTTCTCTCTCTTCTCTTGTCCCCTCAATCTAAAATAAGGTTCTCCAGAGCCAGCCACAAGCCAAGGGGAGGCTGAGCCCTCATCACTTTCATTCTGGCTATGAAAGCCCTGGCGGTGAGTGACAGGACAGCTGTGCAATCTTCTCCACATGGCAAAGGGTTTCTTCCACTTCTTCCAACCTCAGCCCTGTGACAATAGGCTAGGGGAGGTGAGGCCGGGGCCCTCGAGTCAAATCCAGACTTGAAACGCTGGGACCCATCCTTCCTCCTACCAAAGCTCAGGTCTCTATGATGCAGCTTCAGAGCGATGGTGCGGCCAAAGGCTCTGCAGACTTCTGACATGGTTGTTCAGGAGCGGGCAGGCTACGCAATACTGTGTATTTATTTTCTAGCCATGGCTCATCCCTCCTCCCTCATCTCCAGCACAGCAACACGGAGGACTCCCAGGCAGGCCCAATTCCCTGCCGCTCTTTCCAACTCAGCAAAGCACAGTAGGATGCAGGCAAGTGAGTGGCCAGCCTTGTTCCAGGGATAACCCAGAGTGCACTCAAATTTAGTTTTTCAAACTGAAACAAGGACAATGTCAGGCTGTTCCGAGTCACACAACCCATAACCTTTCATAGCCACAACAGTGCAGTTGCGAGTTGCTGCTTCATAGCATGGAGAGTTTCCCACCTCAAGGGTGAAGCTGCCCTAGGCTCAAGCAGGAGACCAGAGCTGATCTGAGAACAGAGCCCAGGACGATTGCTGCTCCTAATCCACGATGCCGTGAGATATACTTTTATGTGCACCTTGAGATTGCTGAGAAACCAACCGTCCGTGTTTGTCATGAACAAAGCAAACCACAAGCCTGAAAGCTGCTGGGTGACTTAGGGAACCAGACTTTGGAAGATAGCCGGGGGGCAATGTCCTGAGATGAATGGGTGCTTCCGGACACCGGCACCAGGGACTCCGGGCAACACTTCTCCCCAAGCTCCTGTGTTTCTGCAGACGAGGCACCTTTCACCTTTCAGGATTGCTTCTCACAACAGAACCTGTCTCCACCAAGATGCCCTGACTTCTGGGAGGACAAGGACTGATCTTTTCCATTTTTTTCCATGCCCACTTCAGGTCACAGAAGATGTAGCTCCACCTACCACAATCCACACAACCTTACCCTTGAGAGCCAGATTTGTCAAAGTCGACAATGGACTTCTAATAACAAGCCTATCTCTGTGGACGGCTGGGCAGGAAGCGAAGCCCGAGACAATGACTTGCCGCCCTGCTATGCTAATTTGTTGGCCAGTTCACAGGAGGTGGCAGCTGATGCCCTAATGATCACTTAGAGGCCAGTGCAGCAGGAAAGTTTTCTAAAAATGGCTTTTATTATGAGGCTTTCTTGAATTTGGCTATGCCCAAGCATTATGTCATTAGGAAAAACTGATGCCTCTCAACAGAGAAAAAGAAATCTGTTTCCGAAGCAGAGGCTTTCTGAAAGCTATTAGCTGTCTCCCTGAAATCACAACATTGAGGCTTTCACAGCAACAGCATCAACACATTGTAAAGAAGCATGAGGAGATGTTTGACTCTCTGCCTTCCCTATTACTCACTCCTCTAGGAAGGAGGGAGGAGGAGTGGGGGAGGAAAGGAAAGAGGACTTTTAAAAATTCATTCACACTTAATGAAGCAAAACACATCCGTGATATTTAAGATTGTGTCTCTAGTCACCAGCCAACTGGAGACTACATATCAGTGCTCCTCCCAAGGACCGAGGATTTGATGATATGAGTGTGGATTAGTCCCCATTTTCTGAAGCCAGGCAACTTTTTCAGCCTTTTCGTCTTTCAGTGCATCCGTTGTCCTGGCACTGTCCTTCCTTTGCTGTATTCTCACAGGGACTGCCTGGCCTAGCTCAAGGCAGATCAGAAAGGTGGACAGAGAGAGGTCTGTTCTCTACTCCACTCTCTGCCTGGAGTCTGCCTTTCCCTTGGGCCCCGGCCATTAATCTCCGCATCTCTAATCTTTATGGTGGCCACCAGTAGGAGGGAGGAGCTGTTTTAGTTCTGGACTTTCTGTCATCAATACCTGAGACTCAGGTACTCAAGAGTCAACTACAGCCGGGTGTGGTGATGCACACCTCTAATCCCAGTACTTGGGAGGCTGAGGCAGGAGGATTGCCATGAGTTTAAGGTCAGCCTGGGCTACAGAGTGAGTTCAAGGCCAGCCTGAACTACATAGCAAGACCCTGTCTCAAAAAGAAAAAAAAAGAGTCAACTACAAGCCACACTCAGTCGCACATAGCTGTAATTCTAACTATTCAGGAAGCTGAGGCAGGAAGATTGCAAGTACAAGGCCAGCTTGGGTAATTCAATTAACAAGACCCTTCTCAAAACAAACAAACAAAAAAATCAAAAGGGTTGGGCCGGGGAGACGGCTCAGTGGCACAGCACCTGCCTGGCAAGCACAAGGTTCTGAGTTCAATTCCTGGTATCAAAAAAAAAAAAATCAAAAGGGCTGGGGATGTTGCTCAGTATTCATGCACTCCTGGGTTTGAGCCCAGTACTACAAGAAAGAAAAAAAAGTCAATTACCCTAAGATGGCTGGTGAAGGTGCGGCAACACTGTTTTGTGAAATACTACACAGCAAATGACCAGAAAGTTGAACCCCCATGCTCCAACTCACGTTCATGGTTCCGTTGATCTCTGCCACCGACTCATCATCTGTGGGGAACTGATAGATCTGGACCCCATTGCTGACAAGTTCACTGGTGATTTTGATTTTGAACTTTGTTAGCTCGCTCTTAGAAATAGCATCTGATTTGGCGATGATGGGGATGATGTTCACCTAGGGAAAGGAGGAACAAGGTGGGGTCACTGTTGGTAAATGGCTCCCGACAGCAGCCTGTCTTCTCACTTTCTTACCACTGGGACAAAATACCCGACACCCACAATTTAAAGGATGGGAGCTTTATTTTGGTTCATGTTTTCAATCCATGGTCAGCTGGCTCCAAAACAGAAAGAGGCATGATGGAGAAAGTGTTCAACCTGTGCTGGGCAGGAAGCAGAAAACGAGGGAGGAGCTGGGGAGGGAGATGCACCCTCCCAGGTCACGCTCCTGGAGACCCGGCTGCCCTGACCAGACCCCATCTCCCAACAGCACATTCAGCTACGAATGCACCAATGGACTCACCAATGAGTGCGGCGCCCCGTGATCCAATCACCTTCCTGATACAGGAGGCTTTGGGGGACATTTTAGATGTGAACCATAACACAGCATCTCCTAGGATTTCTAGCACTGTCCAGGGGTCTAGGTAAGGCCACCTCTGCAGCCAAGTACCATGCTAATAAACAATAGCAAGTACTTACTCTGTGCTGGGTACTGAACTAAATACTTTGTATGGATCAACATAATCTTGACAATAACTTTCCCAGGAGGTATCATAACCACTGTTTTACCAACTGAGGCACTGAGAGGTTAAGTAACTTGTGCAAGGCCACAGAGCAGATAAGGAGCAGAACTGAGATTCAAATCCAAGTTTAGCCTTATTCCTATTCCATGGTGCTAACCTTGAGTCTCTACGGGTTCAGATCCAAGTTGATGAGCTGTGTTGTATCTTGGCGTCAAGGTCACTGCTGAGGTGATCTGAAGCAACAAGGTGACACCTAGCAATCTGTGGCTGACAAGGGGAGAGGTGGCTGCTCCTTGCTAACAGTGAACTGTGCCATCCAGCTAGTATAACTGGTCTGGGCCCAGCCAAGCATGCTATTGATTCATATGGGGAACGCAGGGAAGGGAGGCACAGGCTGTGCCCAGGGAGGACACACACCTCGCTGTCTTGCTGGCAGCAGCCCACTTAAGTAAGGAGACACTCCCAGCTCGCAGTCTGATCTGAGACATGCAAAATGTTACACTGCGGGTGCAGTGTCACACGTTATAATCTAAGAACTTGGCAGAGCGCAGGAGGGTCCCAAGTTTGAGGCTAGCCTGGGTTACATAGTGAGATCCTATCTCAAAAACAGATAGAGAGAGACAGACAGACAGACTGCTTGAGTCCCATTATAAATGTATGGGTAAAGAAAACAGGCATGCCACCACTTAGAAGGCTGAGGTGGGATAGGAGCAAGAATTGTAAGGGGCCCATAAGCCAGGCAAGGTGGTATTCATCTGTAGACCCAACACTTGGGAGACTGAGGCAGGAAGATGGCCATGACTTCAAGGCCAGACTGGGCTACATAATGAGTTCAAGGCCAGGTTGAACTACATAGTGAGACCTTGTCTCAAAAAAATAAACAAAGGAGGGTAGGGGCTGTGGTAATAGTTAATTACTCCCTTGATTCAATCCTCAGTAATCACCCAAAAAGAAAATTAGGTATGAATGCTCAAGTTCACACAAGAGAAAGGCCTAATGCCACTCCAAGGTTCACCCCACTGGAACACTGATCCTTGAAATCCCACTAAGGGACAAGGCTTTTACTGTCAGAGGTAAAGAAAGCTGACATACACGTGGCTTTGTGAGGCAGAGCACCTCCTAAGCTCAGGTTCCCATGCTGAGCATAGTCGTTCTTGTGAGTAGACCCCAGTGGGGTGGTGTGAGTGGCACTCAGGCCCTAGGTTCTGAAACACGGATCTGGAAGTTCTAGACTTCGAAGAGAAGCCCTGTCCGTTCCCACTTTGGCTTAGGAGTACCTCTGGGGACTGACAGCACACAGGGCTTTAGGACGGGTCAGAGAAAGATTGGGTCTTGAAGCCACCTCTTTTGAATTCTCTGGGGGTGTGGGGAGTCAAAGCTCTCAACAAGGTAGAAAAACAGGAAGAGTGAATTCTCTTCCTCGCTTTTTTCCAAGCACACTACAAACATATATTAAAGCTGCTTACTTAATGCAGCCTACCCATCAGACCACTAGCTACATGGCTCACTGCTGTCCTGTGCAGGGACATGCCAGGCATGGCAACATTTCAAGAGCAGTCTACTATTCATGAGAACTGATCTCAGTGCTAGGAAAAATGAAAAAAACCCACCTATTCTAATAATAGCTAAAATTCAGTTTTTATAATGGATATGTTATCAAATGACTATTATATATATATATATATATATCAATATATATATATCAGATCTTTGTAAAGTAAACAAAATATCTTGGAATCAGAGAGAGCTGGGACCAAATTCCAGATCCATTATGAGTTGTCTGGCCTTGAGCAAGCTACTTGCCTCTATGGACCTCCGTTTTCTCATACGAAAAATGGGAATAATAATAGTACCCACCACACTGGATTACAGGAAGGATAAAATAAAATAATGCACATAAAGTACTCATCACAGTGCCTGCCACATATTAAATGTTACAGAAAAAAGGTGCTAGTAATTAGGTTTTTCAAAGAATCCCATGGACAGTTTGTACAGCAAATAATCCTTTAATACAAAGAACTACTGTCTATTTTATATATGGTACAGGATTTGCATTTTTCAGTTTCTCTTGAAGCAGGATGTGTCTGATTTGAACAGATCTAGGTTCAAATCTAGATTCTACCCAGGTAGCTATAGACAACAGGCATGTCAGTGAACCTCTCAGAGTCTCAGTTTTGTCCTTCGTAAAAAAGGATCATAATAGTGTTTACCTCACAGGGCTGTGAGGATTCAGTGAAATATTCTATGAGCTACTTAACTCAGCAGTGGTGTCTGATGAGGGTTTAAGAGATGGCATCTATTATTACAAAAATTAGCAATAACTTTCCAAATCAGATGTGATTCAAGAACAGAAAGAACATCTTTCTATTACCAAAGCCTGTGCCTTTGGAGCTCGTCAGCCATCTTGCTCACATCCATCCTTATTTTCAAGAGGAATCAGTGCAGAAAGACATCTCAAGGCAAGACACCCCAGCCCCAGTACTGGGAAAGCAGATGGCAAGGCACATGACACAGGTACTTAGAGCTACAACACTAAGTTGGGGGACAGGGAATGAGGGAGGGAATGAGGATGCCATTAAATCTCTCCTCGAATCCAACATCTATTGTGTACAAGACTACTAGTGAGTCCAGGTTGCCTGGCCTCCCGCCACCTCTGTCCCCACTCCATACCTTACTGTCCAGTTTCTTCATCGTCACTAGGTCTAGAGACTTCAGTGAATGCCCTGTGGGAGCGATGAAGTACAAGCAGGCATGGATTCGGGAGTCGTGGTAGGTGTGCAGCACCCTTCGGATCTTCAGCTCCTCTTGCAAGTAGGCCTCGAACTGCGCATCGATGAATTCCACAATGGGCTTGTAGCTAGAGGGGATGGGGGAAATGGTTGGACTCCTTGAAAAACTTGGATTTTGACAACATGCCTTCCAGAAATGTAAAGTGCCTTCCATAACCTGACTCTCCTTCATCCAGTCGGATTTCTCCTTCTACCCTCAGTGGGCTTCTAATCCTGTCAACCAAGGCCACCTTCTTGGTCCCCACATGAGTCCCACTTACGCCCATCTGGGCACCTTCACACTGGAATTCCCATTTCTCCCTGCTCAGTCCAGTTTTCCCCATCCACATATCAGGACTCAGTTTAATGCCAACCTCCTTCCTACAGCCTTCCCACTTATGCCAGGAACCCCTTGTGTGACACAGGAGCATAAAGCAAACTATGATACAAGGGCCTGTGTTCTCTCAAATCAACTGGGTCCTCCAGAAGAGCAGGGCCTGCTCAGGGCACTTTCTATTCTCCATGGGGCTCTAGGGCAATGTGGAGTCCACCTGCGGGCTCTGCGCTTGGGCTGAGTTTCCTCCACGCTGGGCCCGTGTCCACTCTCTACCTCGTGCCCACTGTGCCTAAGATGGAAGCTGGGTACACAAGACCTCTCCTTGCTGCTTAAGAATCTTGTCAGAACACTGCGGGGCTTTTGCTCATTCTTGCTAGGTTGAGTTAAGCACCCCACTCAGCTCTAAGGTCCACATATTTTTCAGGTTCTCATTTCCTCCATGGTTTTGACTTTTATTGTTTGTTTATTTGTATGTATATATCCATCATGCATGCATCCAGTACTAGGGACTGAATCCATGGCCTCTGCACTGAGCTATGTCCCCAGCCCTTCTGTTATTTTTTATTCTGAAACAGGGTCTTGTTAAGTCCCAAGCCTCCCCAAGTGCTGGAATTGCAGGTTTGCACCACTGTGCCTGGCCTAGTTGGGACTTTTAAATACAAGTATTGAGACAATATTGGGTAAAGATGCTCCCCCCCACCATCCACACATGTACTCGCTGGCCCCAGCTTGCTGAGTCACCACACACAGCTTCCCTAAGTGGCTTCCAAGTCTCACTGATAACAGTCGGCCCTTGACTCCACCCTGGCCCAGGCCTCCCTGGGAAGCTTCCATTTTCCCTGCCCTGTCCTGTCCCCATCCTGTCCCTGCCCGGGCCATCCCTGCTGCCCCTACAGCCTCTTTCTGCTCTAACTATGTCAGCTCAGCTTGTATCCACCTCTGTTCTCACTTCCCCTGTTTGTCTGATGCCTCTCCATCTGAGGGGCTGCCTCCCTTCAGTGAAGAAGAGGTTTGTCCCCTGGGTCCAGAGCAAGGGACTTTTCAAATACCACTTACAGAGGGGACTATAATCAAAGAATAAGCTGGACCCAACCAATCCACCCACCTGCAGCAGCCTCATCCTGAGCCTTTCTGGAAGAGCCCCCTAGTAGAGAAAGGGAAAACAGCATTTAAAAAAAGAATCACAGAATCCTAGATTCTGAGAGCTGCACACAGAGAAAAGATACAGGTGCAAGAGCCCCAAAGAAAATCTAAAAATATAGTCCTTCCTTTCTTCTTTTGATTCTTTTGAGCCAGCACTGTTCTAAAAGGTAATAGCATGACAGGATCTCTTGGTGACAAAGTCTTTAGAAGGTTCCTGAAGAATTGGGGGGGAACCACATCTCCTTGGCTTTTTGGACAAGAGGCTGATTTGAATAATCTGATCTTGACACAGCTTCTTTTTCAATTCATTATATAACTTTTTTCCTTTGTGTTTTTCCTTTGCAGAAGGGAACAGAAGACAGTGGGTTTTGTAGGCGCCCCTCCCCCGAGTTTCCAGTATACCTTCTGCCCATCATACTGTGGCCGCCTCTAGCTGTGGCTCTGAAGAGATGCACGGATCAGACCAGCCAGAGCAGCCAATCAGCTAAACAAGACTCGGTTCGGGGGAACCGGAAATGGGTGACTCATCTCTGTTTTAGTCATCTTTGGATCTTCAGTGTCTGGCCTGCTGTCTGGAATATAGCAAAGGTTCTGCCTACTGCTCTGCGCTCCCCCAACCCTGTCCCCTGCCCCATCTTCCCACGTGGCCATCTCTGCCCCACGCTCTGCTGGGCTCACTGGGCTCCAGTCCAGGCGCTGCAAAACCCTTCCTCGCACAGGCCACCTTCTCATCAACTGCTGCCTTACTGTAAGTGATACTGACTGTCTTTTAAAGGTGCAGTGTTTCTCAACTGTGCACTGCTAGGCGCTCCACACTCAAGTTCCATGGGGATCAGGACTGGGCAGCTTTCTTCTGGCCCTTTCTTCCCTGATCACTACAATCTCTTCCATCTCCAGCAAAAGCCAGCCAGCTCCAAGAGACTCCACCCTCCTCATCACCACTGCTAATCTTTTCCCATTTAAAACATGAGTTCTTAACCTAAGGTCCTCAGACTTCCAAGGGGTCAGCGGATAGAATTCAAATGCTCCATGAACTTAGGTAGAAAAACTGCATCATTGTCACTAATCTTGAACTGAACTTTAGCAGCTTCTCCAGCTATAAATGGAGGCGATATCTACAGGAATGTTTGTAGCATCTCTGATTTCACAGTGAACAGAAATCACTGAAATTTTTCTTTCCCATTGCAATGGCTGCAAATATCTCAATATTGCACTCATGCTCATTGCAACTTCCAAACTCTGATAATTATTAAGACTACATATAGACACTGTTATTTCAGGAATTAATAGAGAAGCACATGAACTGTTAAATCATGATATTTAGATAAGTTGGTAACTGTAGTTTTAGTAAAATTGGTATATTTGGGCATTTAAAACTATTATTTTGAAAATAAGTCTACTGGCTACACTAGACTGCTAACGGGGCCAGTGGCACAAAGCAACCTCTGGTCTAGAAAATTTTTTTTCTTGCAGTACTGGTGACCGAACCCAGGACCTTCACACTGGGCTGTATCCCCAGCCCTTTAGCTTTTTTTTTTCTTGAGACAGAGTCTCACTAAGTTGGTGAATTGCCCAGGCTGGGCTCTTATTTGCAATCCTCCTGCCCCAGCCTCTGATAGTGCTGGAATTATAGGTGTTTGCTACCACACCTGGCTTAGATAGCACTTCTTTATTTCTTCATACTTAAATACTTCTTCATTACATGTACTATGAAAATACTACAATATGATAATAGGACAAAAGTGACTGAGGTTCAGCTACTTTAAATCAGTGATTGGGGAAGCTTCTCTGAGGATGTGATATTTGAGCTGTAAGGATGAGAATGAAACAGCCAAAGAAGTTGGGGGTGGTATACCTGTAATTCCAGCACTCTGGGAGGCTGAGGCAGGCAGATTGTAAGTTCAAGCCTAGCCTGAGGAACTTAGCAACTTAGAAGACCCTTTTTTAAAAATAGAAATTAAAAAGGGGTAGGGGATGTAGCTTAGTGCAAAGGCCCTGGGTTTAATCTCTAGTATCAGAAATTATCTATGAGGAGAACATTTCAAGGCGATTAAGTAACAAATGTAATAATGATCCTGAAGCAGAAGCCAGCTTGACAAGTTTGAACAACAAGAAGGCCAGGGAGCTGGGATTTAGTGAACAAGGTAGAATAATAAACTATTTATAATAGTCAAAGAATAGAAACAGCCCAAATGTGCATCAACTAAGGACTAGATTAAGAAAATATGTGCTATCCATATGAAGATATGTCCTCAGCCATAAAAATGGGAATTCTGATACATGCTGCCACATGGATGAGCTCCAAAAGCATCACAATAAGTGAAAGAATATGGACACAAATACTATATGGTGCCTCTTCTAAGAAGTACCTAGAATAGTCAGACTCACAGAGCCAAACAGTAGATTAGTGGTGGTCAGGGTCCGAGATGAGAGGGAAATGGGGAGTTTTTTTTAATGAGTTCCCTTTCAGGGTGATGGGAACATTCTGGAACTAGAGGTAGAGCTTGTACAACAGGTAGTGGTGGTGACTGCCAATGTATTACATGCCACTGGACTGCCCACTTTAAGTAGTTAATTTTGTTACATGAATTTCACCTCACAAAAACAAAAAGAATAATAACAGATGAAATAAATATGGCAACATGAGCTAGATTATGTATGGCCTGGTGCGTAGGGCATATTGAGGGAGTTTTTCAGTGTGAATGGGGTCTTCTCTTCCATAGTACTTTCTACTTGGTTACTGTTGGTTCATAAGAAGTCTATGGTTTTCTGGATGTTTCTTTTGAAATTGGTCACCTTACTCAACTATTATTTGTCAGAAGTGTCTTTCAGCTGATTACTGTGGTCTCCTCTATTTGTTACGGTTTGGATTTGGATTGTCCCTCAAATGCCTATGTGCTAAAGGCTTGCTCACCAACCTGTGGCACTACTGAGAGGTGGGATAGCCTTTAGGAAGTGGGGCACAGAGGGAGGAAGTTAGGTCATTTTTGGGCCATACTAGGACACCAGCCCTTTTCTGACCCCTTCCTTTTGCTTCCCAGCAGCTTCCCAGTGGCTCTGTGGTAAATAACATTGTTCACTATGTGCTCCCCACAATGTTTCTGTGTTGTTACAGTCCCAGAAACAGCAGAGCTAACATACCACGGACTGAAACCTATGAAACCATGAACCAAATAAACATTTTCCCCTTTTAAATTGTCTTCTCAGTATTTTGTTACAGTGATGGAAAGCTAATACAATATCATAGAAAAGTAATTTTACCTCTCAATGAATATTTTCAGTTGTTATCTTTCTTGATAATGTTGACCATCCTTTTTAAAACACTGTCACCTGACTTCACTATGTAAATCTTCTTTCTCACTTACCTTAGCGAAATTCTTGGTCTATCTCTTAAGATTTCATCCAGACTGTCTTCCACTGTCCTTCTACCCAGTACATGCACGTTGTCCCTGGATGGTCTCACTCACTCCTGAGCCCTCAGTTATCACCATCTCCTATCACATTCCCTAGACACCTGGAAGTCATGTTGGTCTCTGTTCTCCCCTTGAGCCCATCTCCTTTGCAAAAAATCCCTAGAGGCTCCCCTTCTGGAAGCACACAAGGCTCATG